CACTAGAGGTTTGAGTGCTTAGAGGGAGGGTTGAAGGTGGGCCTGCAAAATAACAAACAACCTTCTTACAAATACATGGGCATAAACGTCAAAGCAGCACTGAAAAATTCACAGTCAGACCCACAGCGAAGTGCAGCGAAAGACTAAAATAAAAAGACAAGCCATGCCAAAACACTGTTTAGATTAAACGACACATTCACCACATTTTTAACCATTTTAGCTGTGGGATTAGAAGCAACTTGACAATAGAACGACACGTGTACTTATGTTTAAAAAATACAGGATTAATTACTCCAGGATTTCTAATTTTAGGCATTGTTTAAAAAGAAAAAAAAAGCATGAAATGTTAAAATTAAGTAATATTTAGCGTTAGGTAAAATTACTATTAATTTATAGCAGAATGAAATATCTTTCTAGATGTTCTCTTATGTGGGGATTTTTTCCCCTCCAAAACATCCCATACAAATTTTGTTAATAAACTTGGGGATGGGGGGGAATAGAAATCTATCTGCATATTTTCTTGCATTTTGAAAATAGGATTGTAAGCTCAATAATTTTTCTGTAGTTACTTTCCCTTTTTTCCCTGTGGCTTAAATACATCAGAATATGCATTTTTAGAGCAATGCAAATTGGTTTATGCAGTGTGTATAAAATAAACATCAGAAAAGCCCTTTCTGAGGCTGAGATTAGATATTTAACAGTAGCATCGCTTGCAAGAGGTTATACAGTCCCCCCTACCCTTAAACCCGTTATTTACCCCCTGCATCAATGTTGACACAATTCAACACAACGCACATTTTACAGGAACAGATACAGATTAAAAGACAAAATAATCCAGAGGGAAGACAAGAGTTTTCCCTAATCAGCTTCACCATTCACCTTCAGTAAGAAGCTCAGAGAAGCTGCAGCGCGGGGCACAAACATGCAGTGAGGGGACAACTGCTCACATCAGCTGCCATTGCCACCAAAAGAAATTACTTGTTACACTTAGCTAAATTAGTTCCACAGTAGGTTAGAATAGCTTTAAGGGGGTTTTGGTTTGGGTTTTTTTAAATCTAACCAACAAATAACACCTCACTGCAGTCACATGCAAACTTATTGCAAGATCGTAAGAGAGCTTTACCATCACGGACTCCGGATAAATGCAGAAAACTGACATGAAGTTTTAAAAGCAGTTTACTTATACCTGAAATTTCAAGTCTATTGTCACATGTTTTGTAGCACTACAGAACCTACTTGCCTATTTTTGAAAACCTAACTTATTGGAACAGTATTTGAGACAAAAATCTTCATTTTGTTAATCACCATATACCATAACCTGCATACAGAACCAGAGCTGCTTCTTTAAAACTATTTCTACCAGTCTCTATAGGTAGACTGAAAACTATCAAAGTCTGCATTCCCTCCCAAATTACTATATACCATAAAAGCATTAAAATCAGTGAAGGATAATCTTTGCTAAAATTCCTTAGGTGAAATATTAAACATTGAAAATAGTAACTTCAATTATCCTATAAGCATGTTTGCCAGATATTTTTAGCAGGTGACCTCCCTTTTTCTTCTTAACTCCAAAGAAAAGTTTAATAAAACTGTCCATAATAAGTTAGCAATTCAATCATTCTTGTCCAGATTCAAGCCTGGAAAGCCTTTTGTTGCTCACCAGAACATCTCAACCACAACCCCAGCAGGTATTTTGGGCCTGGCTTGCCATTAATTGCTTATACTTGTAATTCAAATGATTTTTTTTGCGATTGTTCCTCTCAATTTACTTCCAAGTTCGCAAAACCATTAATTGACAAGCAGTCAAATGCAAGTGCAAATTAATAAGATTGTTCCTCAATTTGTATCCTTTCTAATTTTAATTCCTTCCTTAAGTTTAAAAAAGCAAGCTAATTTAAACCATGCATTGAAATGTTTCTGCCAGCAAAAATAAAAAGCTTCACATGCTAAGTTTTGACTGACAATCCCCTAGACTTCTGCAAGTTATAAATTCTTTAGTTCACTTAAATAAATATGAATCAAAGGTTGTTCTATAACCCATAAATAACTCAGAGTATATCTAAGAGTGGCGAGGGGGGAAGGAAAATTCAGTATCCAGTGTTAACAGTAACGTTACTTTTAAAGCATGTAGAAAACATAACAGTGTGTCAGTACAGTATTTTTCCCTTGTCCTGACATCTGGAAAAGGATTTACACACTTCCAAAATATCTGCAAGAGGGAATGGGCACACGGCAGCGGTTCTGTCCTACCACCACCTAGTGTCCCACTCTTTGGGCTGCACTACAGCCTTACCACTCAACGCTAACGCCGTCTCCCGCCCCGCCACAAGCGACAAATAATTCAAACTGGGCTTAAAGGGAAAAAAAAAAGTGGAGGAAATGCATTGAAATAGTATTGTGCACTTCTCGCAAAAATAAAACTTCAGACATGAAGTAAAATTTGTACTTTTTATTGCCAATAAAATGAAGAATCCTTCTCTACAAAAATAAAATTGAATAGGATTAAAAACTCTTTAAATGTGGTTATATGAATATATTTTTTATATTTCAGACTAGTAGTGTATCGCCAGACATCACAGGAAACTTGAAAAACATTATCACTTCATAGCTGTCAAAAGCTCAGATGGCATAAAACAGTTACAGCAAAAAGGTGTTAAGGTATTAAAATTAGTGCAACTTTTCAGACTCCTAGCATTTGTTCCTACATTAATTTCACGAAAGAAATAAATATGAATTTAGAAGTCCTACCCTAATGATTAGATGGCTGAAATACAAAATACCTTACTTTCAAGCAAACAGAAAATAAAGGAAAACTTCAAAACATCTATTCGGAAAGAGGTATAAAGTCACCTCATACTTTGAATAAAGCAAACGCAGGAAGTGTTTCCATAAACTGATTCAGATTCCAGACAACTGATGGAATAATACACGTATCAGATGATGTACAAAGTGTTGGTAAAATTATTATAAAATACTTTGTATTACATATATATACATACACACACACATACAAAATAGAAAAAAAATCTTACATACTATTTTTAACTATGCAAGGCTAGCCAGATACTTTTAAGTAATAATCAGAGCAGTTATTTTTCTAGATCAAAGATATTTTGTGATCTTAACCTGGCAGCAAGTATGACAACCATTTCTTCTCCACAGTCATCTTAATGATGATTTCTCACATAGTTGCAAAGTTCAGATTTCATATAAATCATTTTCCTCCCACAAGTAAAAAAAAATAAAATATATCTTGACTTAGAATTTTTTTTTTTTAAATTTGCCTCCGTTGGACTCTCTTTTCTTCAGTTACCTGGGGAGCAGTTCCTTTCAGTAAAGCTGTTGTCATCTTTTATCACTTTTTCTCATTACAAGAATCACACTTTCACGTGCAAATAGACCAAATCTCAAATGTATTGTATTAAGGTAAAGAACTAGAAAAGTCTGCAATTAATAGTGCATTGCCCTTCAGCTTTTGTACTGTTAGTATAGTATCTATTAACTTGTGTACTTGTGAAACCATGCAAAGCTGTTACATTCCACTCAAGAAATGGTGGGTTTAGAGTATAAAAACCTCATATTTGTATTTCTTTTTTACCACTTAATGAGAGATACGGAAGAACCAGTATTCCAGTTAATGGTAGAACAGGTACTGCAAAGGAAAGTAAGTTTATATTAAAAATAGTATCATTAACAAGTGATGTTATTCTTATTTCTAAAGTTCTTATGAGTGACATTTTGCACAGATATTACTAAAAGCTTCTTCAGTTTGTCTTACTTCAGATCATATATTTTCCGTACTGAAAATGAGATCATAATTAAATAAAAATGATCACGATCACTCTGAATAAGAAAGTTAAAAATACACATTGATTCAAAATTAGCATTTGAAGTACATTATATAATTAATGCTTAAAAAAGTCCTGTTTCCAAAAAAAAAAAAAAGCGCCAAAATTTATATTAAAGAATGTTGTATTTTGGTTTGATGCACAAATATAAAAAACCATGAAACCAACAGTTGTCAGTTAGCCTTCCCTTCCTATTATGGTACTAAAAAATCCAACATTTGAGTGGGATAACTAGTATTATTTAACCAAAACATACAACACAAGAATATTTAAAAAAAAAAAAAGTCTAAGTACAGGCAAGAGAACTATAAAATCCTGAAAGCATTCAGAAGAGACAGAAGAAACTGGATGACCTCAAAGGTTGAGATAATGGAAATGAGATTAAATACAACAGTATTATGGACAACATTAAAGTTCTATGCAAAGGAAGCATTTGTACTATAAATCAAGGACTCCAGTTGAAAATGGTAGTAGAGATTGTGTAACGCCTGATATGCTATAGTATGATGCAATCATGAGCAAACAAATAGAATGAAAAGAAGTTTTGATGTAGTATTTCCAGCAGAAACAGCAAGGTATGAATGCTGTCCCTACACTTACAGTCGTCTGTATTTAAGCAAGCTGATTTAAACAGGAAAGGTACAGCGAAGGGCTAGTATGATGAAAGGACAACTTAAATGATAGGAAACTGAAAATACTCTTTTATCAGAAAAGGTGAAATATGCTTGGTTTGTTTAGTCTAACCAAACAGAAATGGGAGACCTGTAGGATTGCTCTCCAGGTAGTGCTTCGATACGGACACCAACGACAGAAAAATCACTGAAACTAAACGACAATGATGGTACGTGAACAAAGTAACTTAGTGGACTTGAGATTTCTAATCCTGTAAGCAAGGCAGTCAGACAACTTCTAGAAGTTACTAGAAAATGCAAATAACTTGGTTAGAAATTGAGCCTGACCAAGTGAAGAAGCAGATTATACGACATGGTGTCTGCAGTAGCAGTGGACTGGAACCACGAAGGAAGTGCCTGTGGGGTTATGTACCTAACATCAGAGCGGTGAAAGAGAGCGTAAAATATGCAAACTTGTAAGTACTGAAGATCCAAACTTAACTCCAT